ACAGTTAAACAAGCAAGGCTAGAAAACGAGAACTGCTCAAATAAAAAAAATTAAATTTCTTTTTTGACAAAACTGTGGACATCTTCTCAAAGGAATTGCCTCAACTTTCATTTGAAACTGCTAACATACCTGTTGCAACTACAGAAATTGCTTAATTTGATTTTCTACATAAAGTATTAGATGTCTAGTACTGCAGTCTAACAACAGTTAGGAGAATCAGCAGCATGGAGTGACCTACCAGCTCCTATAGACCACCACCAGGTATCCCACACAACACCAGTAGTCCTTACTTAGGCCTCCATCTTAAATTAGAAAATTCCAAGTCCTGGGATTTTAAGTGAAGGTATGTTGCACTGTGTAATTCTGGTGAGATTCACCACCTCAAAACACTGAACAAACATTAATTAATTTAATTTTGTAACACCCACAGACAGTCAGCAACTACATTTAGTCCTGCTGCACAAGACAAAAACTGGGAGAGAAAAGACTAACTTTTCATCTAGGGCTACCTGCAGACATTTAAAAAAAATAGCAACAAAAAAAAAGTGCTTTACTGGAAGCAGCAGTGTGCTACTTTGACCTGGCTTTGCAACATCTGTATAAATCGGGCACGTCAAACAGGGCTTTTTGGCGCTTTTAGCTAAAGCTGATTCAGTCAGCTATTAGAAAAGTGCCGACAAAGCGCCTATTCTATAGTGACATGGGGTGAGCCTGGTCCAACTAATGTGTTGCCTCCTCTGGGCAAGTGTGGGAGCACACAGAGTTTAAAGCACCACGGTTTTTGTTCGTTTTTTTTTTTTTTTTCAAATGTCTGCAAGCAGCCTAGGTATCTAACTTGTCTCCACTTATATAGCCACACAAGTCCTGTAAAGATCGCTGTATATGCTTGAAAAAGGATTCAGATACGTGAATGAATACAGTTACTTTCATTTGGAGAGAGACAGAGCGAGTGAGAGCAAGAGTGAGCATACCTATGGAAGATGGCGGCTGCTGCAGCGGAGCAAAGCACGGAGCCTGGCTTCTCCATGCCTATGGGCGGCATGATTGGAGCAGAGTCCATGGTGGGGAGGGGGCAGGTGCAGGGTGCCCACTGCAGGCTCAGGCTCCCTGCCCTGCTGCCCTCCTCACGGAGCCTCTGGGGCCCAGCGGGTGGGACCCGGCACAGCGGGACAATGCGGGACCACGTAGGGAAGCTCACTGCTGCAGCTGGGAGCTCTGCGCCACCATGAGGTGCCCCCTGCCTGCCTGGCAGCAGCAAGGGGCACAACTCTGTGCTGTCACTCCTGTGCTGCTGGGTAGGCAAAGGGCATTTCGCCAGGGTGATGTGGGGATTGCAGCAGCGAGGAGCTTCCCCACCTGGGCCTGCTCTGTCCTGCCAGGCCAGGTCCCACCCAATGGGCTGCAGAAGCCCCAAGGGGGAGCCCGAGTCTACAGAAGGCAGCCCACTCCCACCCCAGCCCCACGTACAGATCTTGGGAACATATGCCCCCACTGCCCTCCTCCAGGAGTGTGTGCAGTGGTGGGGAGCTGCTCCCCACCCCCTGACAAGCTGCCTGCAGCTCCATCCCACTCCCCGCTGGGGCCCTGCAGCCATGCATTCCAGCCCTGAGCTTCAAGCCCCATGTATCGCCCCAGCCGGGCAGCAACTCCAGTCCCACCAAACTCACTCCCTCCTTTATGGAGCCTCAATCCCTACCTTGTCCCTGGCCAGACTTGCCCGCAGGAGCTGCTCTCCAGGCTGCCTGGCAGCCATGTGCATGGCACCCCCTGCCTGACTACCCTTCTCCTGCTCCCCCCCAGCCCCTTGCAGGCTGGAACTCTACCAGCCTGCAGACAGCTCTTTGCAAAAGTAGAAACTCCATGCATTTCTCTGTTAAAAATCTGCGTTTTTCTCAGCTAAAGGGGGAAATCCATGCTTTTTTCCACTTCCCCATAAGAAACAGAAAATCCAGATCCCTGGTGGTCAGTGTCCTGCTGCTGAAAGATCAAGAGATGTGCTCAAGAGATCCAAGGAAGAGGCCCATGGCACCTGCTACAGAGGAAGACAACCCCTCCACTCCCTGCCCTATAGTCTGCACCAATCTGACCATGGGGTAAAATTTCTTCCTGACCCCAAATATGGTTATCAGTCTGACTCTGAGGAAAAGGGAGACAAAGCCCTACAGTCAGGAACCTTCAGGTTTTAGTCCCAGCAGAAGTATTGGCACACCCCAGTCAAAGTCCCCAGCCGTGGCTACATCCAACAGTTATTGCTTCTGATAAAGGTTATGGGGAAACGCCCCCATGCATGTAGTAACACAAAGGACAAATAATTCTTTTCCAGCCCCACATGGTAACTGGCAAAGCCAAGAAGCATGGGAAATACTAAACACCCTCCATTCTGCTCCACAACCTAGGGACAGAAAGCATAACTCCAAATACCAAACACTTTTACTGAACAGCAAGAAGAGTAAATGTGATCTTAGCTCCTTTAATCTCCTTTCATAACTGAGTCAGATTGTGGAGTTACTTTATTCTGCTGCTACTGACTATGGTCCTCTCCAATATCCACCTGCTTCAGGTTGCAGAGATGATCTACCAGCAAGGTGATTAATTTTGGTCCCAAAGGACTGCCTGGGCATACAGACTAGACCCAAAGGAGAATTCTTTAACATACGGGAAATGTCCACTGTCAGGGAGGGCAACACAGGGAAACTCACAACAAACAATGGGTAGAAAACTTCTTTCCGGAACCCTTCATTAGTGAAAAGCAGCTCCCTAACCACTGTTTTTGACTTTTCAAAATGTGGAGTTTGATGAATTTGTGGAATGTTGTTACCCTGAACAGCAATCTTGGAGTCCATCTCCAAAACACTGCTTAATCTGAATACTACCTGGGGGGGGAAGGCAACACAACCCCCACCCTCCCTCCTAAAAGGCCCACAAACTATACATAGTGTTCTATTTTTCAATAATATTTATGATGTGGTAACATCCAAACTCACTGACCAGGCTCACATGTTCTCTTAAGGAATACTAGATTCTGAAACAAGTGTTTCCTCTTGAATTGCGGTAAGTGTATTACAGACAGGGAGATATATATGGTCCTTGCCCCAGAGAACTTATAAAACTTGCAAGACAAAAAGAAAACAAAAACCACAACTAAATAAAAACACTCCTTTGACATCTGAAGAAGCGTGTTTTCCAGTGTCCAACTACTGACTCATTGTCAATGAAGAGTTATTAAAGGTCACCGTCACTGCATTAAGTACAGTTTCCTCATGCAAAGTTCTATTCCAGTTTTATGGTCACCTTGTGATGACTTGTGCCCTTCTGTCTTCCCTACAATTACCTTTCTTCTGAGCCCGGAACATTTCCAGCTGTTTCTGCTGCTGTCTTCTTAGCGTATTAACAATAGCTATGGCTAGCCTCAGGGCTTCTCTTGGGTATCCGTGAGACCGTAATGCGTCCACCCTTGCACAGGCTGTAGGAACATGTTCTAAAATGGAGAAAATAATTGAGAAAAAAGTGCACCCGTGTCTGTAATGGCCTCCGTTTTACTAGGTTACTTAAAAAAAAAAAAGAAAAAGAAAAAAATCCCTTTGAATCTATGCAAAGGGACTTAAAAGGCTATTTCTGAACCAGCATTTGAAGGGAGTCTCTGTTCTTTTTGCCAGGCCTTTCATTCATCTCCCAACCATCCCCCCAAAATAATGCCATAGAAACTGAACAAAGCAGCGAGTCATGGAAATGTCTTTCCGGTTTAGCCACTTACCATGCCAGAGGGGCCACCCGTGAGAGTCAAAGAGCGAGTTTTCAGTGTCGTCATGGTAACAGTAGTTGGTGTATAGGTCACTGCTAATAATGTGCTGTAAGTGGCTGTCCTGCCAGTGGAGATCGCATGCCTCAATGGCTCGAGTGAACACCGTCCGATGAGGCCTGGTCGATGAATCTGGCATTTTTGTAAGTTCAGAAAGCTGTATCAGTTTTTATTCACCACCCATATTGTGAATAAATCATTCACGATATTCCTCTACTTACAGTCTATTCAGCAGTCCCCAACTCTGGGTACCCTGTCCTGTACCCTGTACAAGTAGCAGACTGCAGGTGACATTATTTGTACTGAATACTAGGTGAATCAGAAGAAGTATGTTATAGTTGTTCACCTTCCTTTCATTAAAAGGAGTTTACAACCATTAAAACCAAAAGGGAACTGCTACAACAGAAGAAAATCTGATGAAGTATACTGAACACACTACACCCAACAGCCCACCAGGCATTCAGCACAACACCTGCCAAAACCCCCTGCTTCCTTTCCTTCAAGTCCCAGGAAGTTCATAAGCTAGGTTCATAAGGTCCTTTACCTCAACCAAGTGGCTGAGTACAGAATGGGGTTGGATGGGTGCTACTTTTTTGTTTTAATTTTAAAAAGTAACACTAGGGCTTTGCATAACAGAAAATACTTGCAGCATTTGTCACAGAAATGAAGTCTTAACATTGTATATAAACAAATTGAAACACAATATCCAGAAAAAAAAAAAGAAACAAAAGCACTGACTTAATATTTACTGAACAGCTCCATGTAGCAATAGAGCTCTGTTGATACAACGTTGTCTATGCACAGAAATGTCACCTCAGACCTGATATTATCCTGTCACACTAGGCTGGGGATCCAGCAAGAAAACATCTTTTAGGGAATTATATTCTGAATGCCTCTCCCTAGCTATTGGTGGTATTTAAAAAGCTAATTCAAAAGTCAGTGAATTTGAACAATTCCCCTCATCAACAACCATCCTAGAACCAAACCAACTTAAGGGAGAATCTTGCCAGCCATTTTGCTTTCTGCAAACGTATTTAATTTCAGTGTGAAATATATATCAGTTTCACTTCATATAAAATACTGTAGCCATTATACTTATTATCACTCCCCATTTCTGTAGGACATATTTATATTTACATGTGAAACAGACCTTTTACACCTTACATGGAAGACATTTTCCTTTTTTCCTCTGGTCATTGGCACAGTAGCAACTCTTGCCATCAGAGGGCTGGACGGGACTCTAGTAGTGGATGATTCTTGTTGATAAATCAGAGATTTATCCGAAGCAACAAGATACTCCTGTCTCCTAAACAACAGCATACAGCCTTCAGCACTCTCCACCCCCAGGAACAGAGCCTGGAATCTCACGTGGTAGCGCAGTGTATTAACCACAGGGCTGATCCCACAAATAGCTACTTTATTTTAACAGGACCAGTTTCATTCAGCTGCAAAAGTCTCCTTAAATAGCTTGTGAAAGCTCCATAACTGCAGAAAACCACATTGGAGGGGATATCAAATTACAGGTCAAGCAAAGAAAAACAGAAAAGGATTTTTACATGATATACTCTGAGTACGGGTCATGAACCTAAACACAGATGACATTAAGACTTATATTTTCATAAAAGAAATGTCTTTTGTGTTTACACATGTACTAAATGAGTGATAAAAGTTTTAAAACATACATATATCTACTTGCAAAACTGGCCCAGGCACAAATCTATTCACACCCTCTCTCTGCCATGGTACTGTTAATGAAAGCAAACTGATACGTGTCAATCCCTAATAAAAAAAAAAAAGTTCCTTGTTGCCGTAAAAACAGAAACTTGCAATGTCAGAGATATAGAAACATGTTACAATCAGTCTATATATTTAAGCTCACCTTGGTTAGCATTTGCACCCTGAGGCAAAGCATTGGTTAAGTTGGGCAGCTCGTTTCCATGGTTTCCATCTTCCCAGGGACAAACATCCACACTGTTCCATTTTTTCAGCTGCTTTAGCCAACTGGCCTTCTGCTCCAACTTGCAATGGGGATTTAAGACTATACACATCCACAGAGCACCTGATTTAAGAAAAAAATCCTAAATTATCTTTCCTATTAAAAGACCAACAGCTACTTACTAATTACAAACCTACAGAATTTTACCAAACAGTATTTCTATATTGTAGTGTCCCTCTAACTTCTTAAAACTACATTGTAGCTACTACTAGTTGACCATGAATTCCCAACTCAACATCATGGGCTTTATGTGGCCTTTTCAACTACTGCAACCCCTGCCCAACATACAGAGAAAATAAAGACGTGTGGGACTTCGCATGAAATGCAAAATTTATTATCTATGACTTGCCAGTAAGGAATATCAATTTAAACTGAGAGAAAAAAAAAAAAAAATCACACCTATTACCTATTACCCATTAAGCTACCCCTATTTATGTGCTAATTCCTGTACTGGAAGTAAATATGTCACTTTGTGAAAGAATTATGAACACAACTCTATTTATCTTCCAGTTTCACATTACAGTAAAACTACTTGGAAAGTAATTAATACAGCAATATAAATACATTGAGTGTATGCATTACCACACTTGTAGGACCTAGCAGAATTGTCACTTACAGTCCTTTTCAATCACATCTGGATTTTAGAAATCATACTCCGATTTTTCTGCAGTTCTTAGCAGAAATAGCTTTTTAGTACAATTATTTCAATAATCAGTTTAAACTGAGAAGTTAGTTTAAACTGAGAAGTTTGTTGTTCTCTCTGCATATAATTCAAACATAAACTAATTTGTGCTGACATTTCACACATACCATCCGCTTGGAACCTGCCTCCTTAACACTGCATAACAGGGCAACCTCATCAGGGTTTGTGGCAATAATTGAAAACGGAAAGATTTTCCTCTAAATCAACTGTCTCTTCACCAGCATGAACTTTGACAGCAGCATGAAGATGTCTGAAAGTGCTATTTAGCAACAGTTCATTTGTTCATTAAGAATAAGCTTTACACACTACGGGAGATTTGCAGAATCTGCTTAAACTGTTCAATCTGCTAAAAATTGCATGACAGACTTTCCGGGGGAAACAAAGACTGAAAGAATAAGAAAATAAGGCTGGCTCATACAGAATAGCAAAACTCTCACCTCCAAATATTAGTTTGTCAATTAAGAATGACAAATAGAAACCAGTACCATAAGCTCTAGGCCTCTGCATGGGAGCAAATTGTTGAGTGCCAGTCCATGAGCTTGTAGAAACAGAGGCCTTGGTCCTGCCAGGTTAAAAGTACACAGCTGGGCAAGGAAATATAGCAAAGAAATCTATAAACCACCACAAAAAAGATAAGGTACAAGTGAAGGACAGAAGGTACAGACAATAGAATATTGTAACCAATTATGTGACTGGTTAAATAAACTGCAATTTTTGTTTTAAAAGATGAAACCTGCAATTACAAGAGTATACATCAGAGCTTTTTTCTACGGTCCTTTTAATCAACTTTTATGTTGTCCCCCTCTATATGTTACAGGTATCAATTGCCTTGATACCAGCTACACATGCGAAGGAATTATAATGCCATAAAAGCTCCAACCAACTGTAATGTTAGACCTCAAAAATGTGTACTAACTTTATAGGTGTCAGTGGATACCATGCTTAGCTGGGGCTGGGAGTCCCACAACTAAAGGACCTCTCAGCCCCAGAAGACTCTGGGTCCTAGTAGAAGCAACACACAGCTGCCAGGAACCAGAAGCCTGCAGCTGCACATAGTAGTCTGCCTCCCCATGCTGGCACCTAGCTGCAATCTCCCAACCCCAGGGGTGCATGGAGAGCTCTATGTACCCTTAGGACTGAAAGATAACAGTTTCCATGGTCTCCCAGGTCCAGGGGCTTCACACACCCATGAGGCTGGAAGACCATGGCTTCTCCCAGCCCCAAGGGATATCACGTACCCCTGAGGCTGGGAGATCATGGCAGCTGTATCTCCCAAACCACAGGGGTGTGCAGGCCACCCACGCAGCTGGAAGCCCCCACCCACAGGAGCTTGCTTCTTGATGGTACACAGAGGGAGCCCAGAATCTGGCTCCCCCTGCACCAGCAGTAAGGCACAATGGGATCTAATAGGTAACCCCAAAATCATACCTTGTGCCAAGCACATGTGGCATGGCAGGAGGTACGATTGCCTGGATTAGATCTCATGGCACCTTTACCTGCACGTGTAGAGGGGCCCGTAGACCCACACTGCACTAACTAACAAATCTGAGCCATCTAAATGGAATATAACTGAAAAATATCTCACTGGTTTGTTCTATTAAACATCAAGACAACCAACAGTTTATCTGGTGAACTCGATTTACATGACAAAAAACCAGAAAAGGAATAGTTTACTTAAACTGCAACTTGTGGACATGGAAGAAGCAATGCAAACTTCCTATTAAAAAGAACTGATACAATGTAACACTTTGTAATTCATTCCCAATGCCTCCAGTGTAGGAGCTAACTAAACTGAGGTAAAATGCAACACTTTCACTGTAATTAATCACTTCTTAAACTTAGTGGGGGGGGAATCACATGCTACAGAATGTCTCTGCAAACTGATTCGGTGGCCCAGGGAACAAAGCAATCAATACCAGTCAATGAAAGGTAGGGGAACTGTAAAAAAAAAAGATCTGCCACATATATATTTAACTGGGGGCAGAGGAGGGGAATAACATGCATCAAAATACTTTAAAACCACTGCATTAATCTTAGGTCAGCAACTGTGGTGAGAGTTTAATTATTACATCAGTAACAGCCTATTTTACGTAAATTAAACAAGGACAATTTACTGTTTAATATATTAAGCCCTCTACATAGAGATGCACGTGTCAGGCCAGAAATTTATTATATCATTTAATAACAATTTCACCTCCACAGATGCCAGTTAAAATATCAATAGAGCCAAGCTGCACACAACTCCCACCGACTTCAGTACAAATTTTCTGTAGGTATGGACAAACATTTTAGCTGCTTTAAAGGGTAGGGGGAGCTGCTGTTCAGGACTGCATGCAGGTATTATGCTGTAATTGTTACATCTGCCTAATCCTGTTGCAATACAAGCCAGCTACTTTTGGCCCTAGCTGAAGCAGGGTTCAAGTTGGAAAGGTTTTGCTACATTGCTATCATTACAGGATTGTGCATATGTAACAGCTGCAGCCTTCAAGCTTGTACTGGTATCCTTTCTAGTGACAGAACTGTTATACCCATCTATACACTCCATGTATAAACTCTGCAGGACATGGACCTTGACACTGCTTTCAAAGCTAACCAACTAGCTTCAGTAAAATGAGAAGCTCTCCACATGGAGAGTTAAGCAGATAGTCTAAGGCTCAAGCCTCACTATGCAGCACAAGACAGTATACAAAAGGGGGAGTTGGCATAACGTCAAGGACCTTCTTCTTTACGCTTGCTGCAGTGTATTTGGGGGTATCTACCTTTTCAGTTTCTCTGGGCCACCTGCCATCCTGGTCGTTCAGATCCATTAGTTCCTGTCCTCTTAACTACCCATTACTGCAGGATTATGGAGGAGAAATATGCTTGGTCTTGCCCATAATTCACCTAATTGCCAGCTCGAAGGAAAAATATTTTCAAGACTCCTGTTTCACAGGAATAGCACAACCTTATATTGTGGCCGAGTAGCAGCTGCTAAGATCGTATGCAAAAAGCAAATCCGAGGGCTTATTAAACAAGTTCTAAGCAGCTCTTAAGAACCTTCTTCCTAATCACTCCTCTCCCTTGTTTTGGCCTTCAGTTCCACTCAACTGTAGGATCAATGTCATCTGGTCAAATGGGTTGAGAACAGAAGATGCCACCAATCAAGTCTTTCCTGACTACATCCTTCCTCTTCATCTCCAATCCTCTCTCTACTTCCTTTTTCACTATGAAGATTATGAAGTAAGCATCCCAGTCTCGCCTCCTTGGTTTTCTTAACAACACATCACGCACACTCACTTAATGATACAAGTTCAGTCCTTCTCCCTCAGTGAAACACCAAATAATCACCTTAACATTCCCACCTCAGCTTCCTCAAGTGCCATTTTATGCTTCTCTTCTCACTCCAGTTTTCTCTCCATATAGTAACACCTCCCTTAACATGGTAAGGTTAAGTCTTTATCTTCAGCTTCTCTGATGACTTTATTACATGAACTATCTGAAAGGTTTTTTTCCATTTCATTTTAACGCCTTCGTTTCAGCTTCATAGTCACTTCCATCATTTAAAGTAGATCCCATATCTGGTTTAGGGTATAAGTTACTTTCCTATTCTTCAATACTCCATCTTCCCACCTACTTTAACAATTCACAATTGCTTTGTTTTTTCTGGTATTTTCTAGGTAGGGTGACCATATGTCCTGGTGTGCCAGCACAGTCCCAGATTTCATAGGCTGGTCCCAGCCAGTTGATGAAAACTGAAAGAAAAATTCTCCAACCTAACATGATCCTTTCTTTCTCTACAGTGCATGCACGTATGGCAGCAGAGCCAGCCTTAAGAAAGTGACAGCCTGGGCGAACCTGTATTTTAGTGTCGTTCTTTCCTCCCCTTCTCCACTGCCCCCTGAAGTCAGCAGTCCTGTTGCAGGCAGAGGCAGGTGGGCAGGGGTGCAGGGTGCTGTCCAGCATGGAGTAAGCTGGGCACCACTCTAGTCCACCTACCTGCCTGAAACAGCGTCCCAGATTTCCTCAAAAATATGGTCACCACATTTTTAGGACACTTTTCTCTAAATATTTCTGCCAATCCATCCATCTTTTCTTTTTCTGCAATTCCTCTACTGTCTTTGTCATTAAAATATCATAGCCAAACAAGAGCTCCCCAAGTAAGCCTTAAGGACTAAGTACATGACAGTCAAAAAGCCCAAGACTGAATCAATTCAATCTTTGCAGGTTAATCTAAACTGCATAGATTGAATCAAACTAGTGAACAGACATTCACCTTTGATTCCACAAATGCAGCCACATGCCTGAGGTGGCTCAGGCCATAAGCAGGGGGCTGGCACTAGAGCACACATCCCTGCTAGACTGAAGCAGGCAGGTTGGGCCA